ATAAATAAATGTGTCTCTTGTTCATTAATTACACATTCCAAATCTATTTTCATTAATTACACATTCCAAATCTATAAAAAAAAATTCATAAACAAAGCCTATACCCATTGCAAGATCACTTTGACTTTTTCAGTTTTTTTTATAATTTTCTATGAAATTATATTTTTTCCCCTAACAAATCGTTTGGTACCAAATGAATCAAGAATTCATTTTATTTTAAAATGAATTACCCTGTAAAATTCATTGTCAAATGAAATATTATGTTTGGTATGTCATATTCAAATCCTTAGAAATAAAATGAATTGTCGTGCATATCATTGTCAAATGAATTTCTGTGTTTGGTATGTCATATGTATAAGTAATTTAGTTAATAAAAGAGGATAATTATATCATTATATTATAATTAGTAAATACTTGTGGAATTCATTTGGAAATTCCATCTCAATTTCTCAGAATTGCTATAACTAGTTCCAATTCCATAGAATTCAAAATTTAGAATTTAAAATGAATTCTTTTAAATACCAAACCCAAAAATGTTTCATTTCAAAATGAATTTCACAAAACTTATGAAATTCATTTATACCAAACGGTATGTAAATATCTAATAATGTTTCTATGAAATTAAATGATATATGTATCTATTTGCTATAGTAGAAAAAATATATATAAATTATAATTACACATTCTTTTACAAGATACCGAAGAGGAAAATTACTAAATCTCATTAGTATGTTTAGAAGTGGGAATGATTGGAGCCAGAAGAATTCATCACAAAAATTGTTTCAAAGAGAAACTTATATATTCCTATTTCTTGTGATGAAAATCATCAGGTTAAACATTAAAAATTACAGGATGAAGATCATTGAGCAGTCAAAATTAAGCTGCTCCATAGCAATATGAAGTTATCGTTTGAACAGAGAGAGCGAAGCAGACAGAGAACAAGTCCTAATTAACTTCTCATAATTGAGACATCCAACCAAAACGTACAATATGCCCAACGAAGAAATGAATATGATAATTAGCTAGCTAGGGTTGGTACGTATTTTGCCCTTTTGGGATTTGATGAAAGGGTGGAAATTGCGTCGAAGGTTTGTGCGGTATTTTCTTGCGTGCCAAAGGAAAGAAGGAGAAGAAGAAAAGAGCACGTGGGGGAATTCTAGTGTTAAGACAAAGAGAAGTCCCAGTTTGGTTCTAACATAAGAATCACAACAGTCCACACATACACTTTCCAACTTGCCTCCTTTAATTTTGGAGATAAATTCAAACTAAATTCACACCAAACAGATGAACACAATGATATGCATATTTAGCTCTACTGTTATGTTAGTAAGGGTGATTTTGTTTACCAAAATATGAAAATTTTATGGTACAAATTATTTGTACCTTGCTTTAACATTGTGGTACAAATTATTCAACTTATAAGCTATATCGATTCACTAATAAGTTTTCAGTTTTCCTGGCTAGCTAGCTAGCCACACACTATCAAGCCAGCATATAAGTTGAGCTCAACGAGCCACCAAATAGAACTGGTTTTCAAGCCTCAAGAGCTGAAATAGCATTAACTCAAACTCGATTCGTTAATAGACACGGATCGAGTTTCAAACAATTTTTCTTCCCTGTAATCGATCGACAAACCTCCCGAGCTTGACTCATTTGTAGCTCTACTCCTAAGCAAGTTTTTTTTTTTTTTGGTTAAAGGAAAGCCCTTTTTCAAGCATTTTAAATTCCAAGCCATTCATGACAATAATCAAAGCTAGCTATCTTCAAACTGAAGGAGCCATCTCCATCTACATTTCAAACTGTATTTTGATTTGACAAGGGATAACCTAGGTACTCTTCAGCCGTTCATTCCATTGAATTAGTCCCAATATCACTATCTTTAGGACAATGATGTACCAGTTCTGGTGATTGATATAAGAAGGTTTATATGTCTCTTGTGATCAAATCAATATTGGGCATAAATAACCATTGTTCGACATAATTGCAGGTCTCCTTTCTCCCAGCCCTAGGGCCCCAATCAACACTACCTATATGGGAATTAATTATAATACAGAGAAAATAATATTGCACTTAGTTGAAGGGTCCATTTTCTTTTGGGAGCCACTAACTCCTTTGGAGCCACCTAATTGGGTAACAAACAAACCATAGCACCACTCTGTGCTAATCATAAGGAGACAAGAAGAATGGTTTATTAATTAAATTCCCCATTGTTTACTTCCCAAATCCTGGATATTTTGCTTAAAATGAGTTTAGTTTATTCTTCTCCTTGATGGGAGATGACCCAAAATTGACCTTCATGTTTTTCGAGTTTAGCTAAAAGACAGATGGTTAGTTTAACAGTAGTTTAACCAATTAATATTGAGCAGTATTTAAAAAATGCCATGTTGATATCAGAAGCTATAGCACACTGCTATACCCCTCTTAATTTTTCTTATTCCTAGGTTGATGCAGTAAAGAAATTAAGGTTTAGAGTTCGACTCAGTAGCTGCTATATATTACAAAATAGAAATAGTAAAAATATAACATCAACAAACTCATTCTTCATGATTATCAATGAGATAATTTACATTGAATAACAAGAACTACGAAAGTTTCAGTATTTGTTCGGATTTTGGAGGGGGAAATGAACTAGTGCCTCATGGTATCTTTGTTCTCCTTCTCATAAATAACAAAGTATCAAATGGTATCTTATTGCCTCCAACTGTTTATATTCCATGAGAACTGCCGTCATCATGCACCAAAGCAAAGTAGCTAAGTGACATGATATTAGGCAATTTTAAATTAACCCACTTAATGATTAAAAAAAAATTAACCCACTTAATGGCGTTCTTGAAATATTATAGTGAAGCAGTGGGCAGGCAAATGGAGAAGAGAGGAATATACCCAGTATATATATGCAAGTATCACCAGAGTCATTCTCAATGCATCTGCTCCTTAATTATTGGGGTATTTGATGTGAATTCACAGTGATCTTACTCATATAATCAGCTAAATAGTTTGTTGGCCATATGTTCATCTATCTTACCAAGGTATAACTCGAGTTGTTGGGAGAGGTTCAATCGTGGATCATATACCGTTTACTAACACCCCCTTTCAAACTCAAGCCATTCAGATAGGCTTGGAGTTTGGACAGGCACAGGTCCGGACACCGTGTGCTTTACAGAAACAACAGAAATAGATGCGGGTCACCAGGAATCGAACAGAAGATCTCACGATCACAGAAGGCTATGATACCATGTCAAGAACCAGTTGATCCCAATAACTCGAGTTGTTGGAAGAGGTTCAATCGTGAATCATATACCGTTTACTAACAACATTAAGTACCGACACCAATATCAAAACGCTATGGGTCCCTCCAAGCACAAACAGTTTATGTACATCAAAACTCCTCAAAGAGGAAACCTATCATAATAAAAAATCAAAACAAAAACACTAAGTCCCTAGAATAAAAACAATCAAGCAAGTCTTGATTATGAAGATATCGACTCTTAATATTCTGCTTAGCAACAAGTAGTAGCTGAGAGGGACTATGTGATGATGAATTCATATGGGGCATATAAGAAGGGCAATTAACCTTTACAATCTAGAGCAAAAAATCCTCTCCTGGTTAAACCGAACTGAACCGAAATTATCTGGTCCTTTTTTCGTCATAATCATATACGATCTAGTGTGGTGCTGGTTACCACTTTGGCCCAAATTCAATCGGGTTGACCAAGAACGGGACTAGACTGATTTTAACCCCTAAATTGGTTAAATCCTCTGTTTTCATAAACGGACCGAAGGCTAAATCGGAAAAGTTAGTGGTTTGGAGTTTAGTGGTTGATCGTTACAAAACCGTTGGTGAATTGTTGATAGAACCGTTCATGATATATAACATATAAGGCTTTTATGTTACACTAATTTTTAAATGGAGTTATCATTGACCATAAACAATTTTATATTTATATCATTACCAAAATATCTAATAAATCATTCAAACCGTCTCACAAAATATCATAATTTTTTTCAACGCGAATTACGGTGTCAGTCGATAGTGGACAACGTAAAGTCGACAACAAGGTTGGGAAATGAGAAGAAGAAGCATATATAAAGTTAATAGTTATGGTTTGATAGTCTTAGTTTATATTAAAGTATTTTTAATTTTTTTGGGTAAAAATAGTGAATCAGTGGACCAGTTAAACCATGGTGATTCATCCGGTTTTATGTTGAACCATGAAAAACCGTTTGGTCAATCAATAATCGTCCAAGCAATGAAGCATACCGCTATCTTAACTGGTTTGGCGATTCTACTAGGACAACCGTTGATCTTGTTCGGTTCTTATAACAATGATTAAATCAAACAATCATAGTAACATTAATTCTGATGAAAATTTGTCTAATTTTCAAAGCTCCATCATCACAAAAAAATTTATAGTTGATTATTTCTTCCTCCTTTTTCTTTTCTTTTCATGAAATTATGAAGGGTTTTAAAACTTGCGTGCTCTCACAGCCGCTACTTGCTCCACATCTACAATTAACTCTTAATCAAATAATGGACAGCAAAAAATTTGTCTTTAGGTACAGTACTTTTCGATTTGCCCAATAGGGCAATTGGCTTTTTATCAATTTTGTAAATTAAGTAGGGCTAGTTATTGGTGGGTTTGAGAAAGACATGTAATTGGAAGTTTTGGTGCGTTCTATGTATATAAAATATAAACATAATATTTGGTTACATACAAAATGATAAAATCGTCAACTTCAGAGACTAATATAAATTACTTATCATACAAAAAAGGAATATATATATTCATCATGTTCGTGAAGAATTTAAGTTTTAATTATGGCCCGCCCTCTTGATTAGTGGAGTTTCCACTTAGACCAATGAGTGTGCTAGATTAGATGCTAATGAGCCTTGTTGGACAACCAATAAGAGAGGTTTAGATATTTCGCGTCAACATCATTAGTTTATTTAATTGCGAATTAAAACAAAGCAGTATAGAAACAACCACCACTAAAGATATGAACAGTGACATATAATCTAATTTTTAAGAAATGGACCATGACATGTATTCTTGGAAGTGAAATCAAATGGGTTAACATTGGTTCTGAGATCTAGCCCTTAGATCCTATCATTGGTTCTCCCATTTATAAACAAAGTATGGGGATTTAAGAGTCAGGGCAGATTCAGAAATTTTTATGTTCAGTTTCCTATTTATACAATTGAACTAATTTAACAAATAACAAGCTACCCAACTAGTACAAGTTGTAACAAACAAACTCACTGAGTATTTTTTATGTTCAGAAAAAATATGCATTCAGTATCTATAGTGGTCAACAAATATCTTTCAATATATTCTACTAGATAATGATTTGCGGACTGATCACCTATTCGATTTCCAAACTTATTCTTAATCATACAAATTACATCTACTAATGTACATTAAAAAATTCACTTTGTCTTCACCATCATATGAGCAAATTCATCAAGGTCTTTTAATTAGGGAACTTTCTATCACTCTTGACACAATGGTAATAAGTAATAAGTAATAACTCCCAAAGGCCTGGACGACCAGACTGTAGAAGGATGAGAGCCATTAGGGATGAATCAACGAACTGGAGACGAGCCCGGTTTTGATTTTCCCTTTTGCGTGGGCCTGGCCCAGATAAACTAATAAACGCCCACGTAGCGAGGCCCAAGTCCTCTACTTTCCATCCACAAGATCGACGCAACAGATATTTCGCCTGAGATTTCTGTTTCCTCCTCGCCGGCGTATCAACTTGCCGCGCATCGTATTTTCCAAGGGATTTCTGGAGGGCGTGAAGCTCAGCCTGTACATCGGTGTTCCACTCTTTCTTATGAGCTTCGCTGCTGACACCAAGTTCATGAAGAAATTAACCGGCAAGGTAATACTTCACTCTCCTAATTCTTCCCTTCCCTTTCCCGGATCGTTTTGGTTTGAAAATGTTTCGACTCCTGAAATTCAATTAGGGCTTTTTCGTTGTTGTTCTTCTTCTTCGCTTAGTTCGATTGATACGATGAAAAGCTCAGTCCGAAAGTCTTTATGTTCCAGAATTAGGGTTTTTGGATAGGAAATCAATCAGCTGAATGAAGGGCCATAGTTCAGATGAATTTCTGGAGTCATCTATAGCTAGGTCAATGGAAAAACTTGCTGCCCTGTGTTCTGATGGATCAATATCAGTAGGGAAAACAACAGCTGTTAACAGAATCTGAATTAGAGTTTAGAACTCCGCTGGTCACGAATTGTCCGAACCTCTTGGAGAGGATGGTATCAATCGTTGCAAATGGGAGCAAAAAAGATGGAAATTTGGTTGATATTTTGCCTGATTGGGGAAGCTTGTATAAGCATATTAAGTTGTGGAAATCGTCCTTTGGTTAGTGTGTCACTCTGTTTACCTTGTGTGTTGATTTTCTGATCGACAAAGTATGGATTATCAATTGAATCGTGCATTTGTTTACTTCTTCTTCTGTGTTTAGGAAATGCAGTGAGATTACATAGTGCATTCGCCAGAGGCAGAGAGGCCTCAATCCTCAGAGGAACTCAGAGAAATGGCCAGACAATTGGCTCGAGACTGGAAAGTTCAGTGATGCTGCTGGCATGCTGTAAGTTTGCTGTTGTAGTTTCTTCCCAAGGAGGAACAGTACGATTGCAGTAGTATGGGGATATTAAAGGTTGTCGGGTTTTGCTTCCCGAAATGGAATACGAATACTTTTACGTTCTTCAGCTGTGTATTGTAGCTGCTTGCTATATTATGCTTGTTCATAGATAGAAGGAACAATGCTGGCTGGCTAGTCTGTGTTGTAGATTACTAGGATTGATTCGATATGATATGCATGTCTAAACTCGCAGAGATTTTAGCAAACATACTGCAGTAAAAAAATTCGTGTAATCCGCTAACGAAAAGACAGTGCAGCCAGTGGTAGCCACATTTGATGCCTGCAGGAAAGCAGAAAAATGGTATGTATTATGATTGATTAGCTCAGGAAGGAGGAGCAGCGCTGCTCCTCGCCCTCCGGTACATTGTGAATGATATGGTAGGAAAGAAATCCTCTCCGTCGAAACATTACAATAACAAAGAAGTAGAGAATGAGCTATATGTTTGGCCGGCGACAGAAATAGAAATTGCCGGCAGCAAAGCGACGAGGCTCTGAAGTGCTAAGATGAACTATAGAAGGTTTTGTGTAAATTGAATTACACTTTCCAACTTAGGCTACACATGGTTTTGGTAGTCGTCCACTTTCAATAAGAATTCAGGATTCAGTTTTTGGGAATTCTGATTGCACCGTATAGGAACGAACTTCGTTCCAGAGTCATATAACTCACATGAACAGAATTAGGCCGGTTTCCATCAGGGACGGGCCGGTTTGCTGCTTAAATTATTGCATTCATTCTGATAAGTGCAAGGAACAAAACTTTATATATGAAAGAAAAAGGCTTCCACTTGCAGACTTGGTCAGGGAAAGCGAGACTATTGCAGTTGGAAATTTCGTGGAAGTGTTTGGCCAATGTCGGCTACTCCTTTCCTTATCTCTGCGCGCAGAGCTTGGATATGCATTAAGAGGAAACGCCGCGTTTTCTCTTCCAAGAAAGATGTTTTGGCGGTAAGAAATAACGCATTTTTCAACGGGCGTGTTAACTTCCTGCCCCGCTGGAGCCTTTTCTTGGAGTGTGGTTGTGCTTGACTTGTTAAGTCAATGCAGACGACCCAGCTCTTCTTCATCCTCTCGCTTTCCCGGCAACCAAACACCAGAAAGGAAACGCAGAGGTACTTTCTCTGCTACCCGCTTAGTTCAGTTTCTTATTCTGTTCTCGTAATTTCCTCTGTCATTTACATCTGAAACAGTTGACCCAACCCAACCCAACCCAACCCAACCAACTTGTTGAAGCTTTGATTCCAGTTTCTGGGTTCTGCATGACATATGTCAAATTTCAGTTTGCAGGGTAATTGAAGCTTCCGAATTCAAATTCAGCTCACGGGTTTGTCTTCTTTTTCCCTTTTAGCCCTTTTTACAGGGCTGCTATTGATCGGCCGTTGATGCAGTCATTGTCAGACATTTCAAGAGGAAATAGCATCTGTGGCAATGGCGATGGAGTTCATACCCATAGGGACAATCTTAGCTCTAGTGACGAACCAGGTCGTCAAAACAGCACAAGCAGCAAAGGACATACTAATCGAAAAGGAAAGCTTCAAAGTTCTGTCCCAACACCTCTTCGACATTGAACCTGTGTTGAAGGAGCTCCAGCTTCAAAAGCTCAACGATTCGCAAGCTGCCAGGTCAGCCCTCGAAACCCTCCAGTCCGATGTCAAGAAAGCCAGTAACTTGGTGGACAAGTACAAGAACAGAGCCCGGTTCTACTTGCTTCTCAGGTGCAGGCACATTGTGAACGAGGTGCAACAGGTGACTAGAGATATTGGCAGGTCTCTAGCTGCAATCTCCCTCGCAAACACAGAAGTTCTTGCTGGGATATCCAACCAAGTGCATAAACTGCAGAACGAGATGCAAAGGGTCCAACTCGAAGCGTCTCATTCTCAGCTTCAAATCGTTGACAAGCTAAACCAAGGCCTTATAGATCAGAAGCTCAATCAAGGTTTTGCCAACGATATGCTGGAGGAAATTGCAAGGGCAGTTGGGGTTCCCGTGGAGCCCTCACAGATAAGTAGAGAGTTGAGAAGCTTCAAAAGGGAGAAGGAGGAAGCTGCAAACCGGAAAGAGAAGGCTGAGGAGCTTTTTTTGGAGCAAGTCATTGAGCTTCTCTCGAGAGCTGATGCTGCTAGGGACTATGAAGAAGTTGAGAAGCAGTATTACCAAAGGCTTCAAGTAGTCGAGAGGTATAACCCCAGGGAAGAATACATTACTCCACTGAATGCTTTCCTTTGTAAGATTACTAGGACTGTGATGATCGATCCTGTTAGCCTTTGCACTGGTACGACCTGTGAGAGAGCTGCTGTGGAGGCTTGGTTCGACTGTGGAGAAATCACTGACCCTGAAACAGGTGAGGTTCTTGAAGATAGGACGTTGAGGCCTAATCTTCCACTGAGACAGTCAATAGAGGAGTGGAGAGAACTTAATTATTGCCTAAGGATTAGAGCTTGCAATGCTAAACTGTTGTCAGGAGATGGTTTACTGATAGAGCAAGGATTAAGCCATATGCAAAATCTGTTGAGAGAAAACTCTATTAACAAGGATTGGATCTCCATAGGAGGGCTGACCGACGATGTAATACAAATACTTGGTCACTTCCACAGTGAGGATGTGAAGAGGAAGATTTTAGTTGCTTTGAAGGACATTGTAGAGGGGCACTGTCGGAATAAGGTAAGCACCCATTCTACATTATTTCGATCTCTATAATTTGTTTTGGCTTAAGTAATTGACTGGAGTGATTTTTCCCAGGAAAAGGTGGCAAACAGTGAGGGATGGGATCAAATTCTTTCGTGCTTAGCAGGTGTTGAGAGCATCTCAAAGGCTGCTGTGGAGTTACTCTTTGAGTTGTTGCAGGATAGGTCTGGTTGGAATATCTGTGCTTTGAGGAAACTTTCTGAGCAGGGCAGCTCAATTCCTTCACTTGTCTCCCTATTGAATGGTATAGATCAAGATTCAGCTGTTTGTGCAGACAAAATATTGAACCAGCTTTTCGAAATCGATGAGGAAAATCTTCTTCATGCTGCAAAAGCTGGCTGGTATAAACCACTAGTGGACCAAATAGTACAAGGTAAGATATATCGTAGCTCCTCCCTATTGCATGCTGCTACATCAACAAAATTATCATGTGCTTGTAAATTGGATTTCCTTGATTCATAATGAGCTTTTTTCTTCAGGGCCAGAATCGCTAAGGGTTTCAATGCTGAAGCCTCTTGTTAGTATGGAAATAGTAGATTCAGATCTTGAAATCCTTGGAAGAGAAGGAATAGTTCCTCCGTTGCTTGAAATGGTAGCATCTGGCAACATTGAATCAAAAGATGTATCCTTGACTGCACTAGTCAAACTATCTGCCTGTCATGCTAATAGACAACTCATTGCTGCTGCTGATGGGATTCCTCTCATTATCAAACAAATATTTTCCCAGCAGAGGCGGACCTTCCTCACCGGAAAATGTTGTGAAATCCTTGAAAGTCTGTCTTCCAATGGTGATGGACTTGGTTTCTTTGTGAATCAGGATGGAGATGAAGTTGATCTAGAACCAACCATCACCTACTTGTTAACTTTCCATATCCCAAATCCATCCATTAACATCAGAAAGCCTGCTTTACGTGCACTTCTAGCTATATGCCAGTTGGATGCTAGCTTGGTGAAGGCTGCTGTTCTCACTTCCAAAGGCCTGTCTATAGTTCTCCCTCTTCTTGATGAAGCAGACTCAGAGATTCGGGAATTGGCCATCCAAATTCTCTTTCTATTCTCCCACCATGGACCAGAAGGCCTAGTTGAGTACCTTCTCAAGCCTAAAAGGCTTGAATGTCTAGTGGGTTTTCTAGAGAAAGACCATAAACCTGATGTTCAAATGGCTGCTGCTGGTCTATTAGCGAACCTTCCAAAATCCGAGGTGGGCTTGACAAAGAAGCTGGTTGAGCTGGAGGGAATCAATGCACTGATCAACATATTGAGGGGAGAAAATACAACAATGGACGCAAAAGAGAATGCTCTGAGTGCCCTTTTCAGGTTCACTGATCCCACAAACATCAAGTCACAACGACTCGTGGTCGAACAAGGAGCCTACGTACTGCTCATTAACTTGCTTACAACTGGTTCAGTGACTGCTAAAGCAAGAGCAGCTGCACTCATTGGCGATCTATCCACAAGCACTCCAAAGCTTGTTGTGGTTTTCCCCAAATCACCCTTCTGCTGCTGCCCCTGCTTCGTCCGAAGGCGCCCTAATCTCTGCCCGTGTCACGGAGGAATCTGCAGCGTGAAGACCACATTCTGTCTCGTCGAAGCAAATGCATTGCCAGAATTGGTGCAGTTGTTGAAGTCACAGGTTCATGTGATGGCTCTCGAAGCGGTTCAGGCACTGTCCACGTTGGTTCAACCAGGATGCCCGAACCGAGGTGCCATTGTGTTGCACGATGCTGATGCTGTGAAGCCTGTGTTGGAGATTCTGAACTGGGGGAGTGATTTGCTGAAGGAGGAAGCACTGGGGTTTCTGGAGAAGGTTTTCGTGTCGAGGGAGATGGTGGAACATTATGGTTCGGTGACTAGGTTGATGCTTGATAGTTTTGTTGGTCGGAGTATTCATGAGAATGGTCGGTTGGGGAGGAAGGCTGCTACCGTTTTGGCACGTCTTGAACGGTCTTCGAGAATGTCTTCTTCACTTTTGCCTGGATTGTTCGGGTCAGGAGCTTTATAATGGCTAGATTGCAAGGATATGCTAACAAATTCTCTACAGTGTACTGTTATTATTATTGGTTAGTATGTACTGTAAACTTGTATAGGCATAGTTTGTACATATGCTTCTGTCTGGCAAGGGACAACACACGACAACAGAAGTTTAAATGGGTTTAAGATGGCCTTGTGCTTAGGGCTGTAAATGAGCCGAATTGCTCGTGAGTGGTTCGGCGTTCGACTCGAGAAAACCTCGTTCGAAACTCGACTTGTTAATAAACGAGTCGAACATGAGCTAAACTTTGTTCAGCTCGTGAAGCTCGCGAGCTAGGTTGACTCGGCGGCTTGTTGAGTTAAACTCAAAGTTTAACAAGTTGAGTATGTGAGCAAATATATCTTATTTTCTATTTTAAAAAGAAATTATGTATCATAAATTGCTTCGATACTATGAAATAATATGATTTGGAGTAGTTAAAAGTTATTAACTAATATATGATACCAACAAAGTATAATATGAGATTACCTAACAAAATAAATAATATGTATCATAATATAAAAAATGAAGTACCAAATAAAAGTCAAGATTTTAGTAAACAAGTTAACTCGAGCTCGAGCTCGACTCGTTAATAAACGAGTCGATTGGGGTAAAACTCGACTCGATTCATTTGCAGCCCTGCTTTTTATTTTATTTTATAAAAGATAATAATATATATTGATGAAACGAGAGATAATTGCAACCTGGAATTCAACCAGGATAGAAAATCAAAAGATCGACTTGTAGTCGTGTACAATGAAAGAGCTTTTTTAGTCACCATATGGGTTACCCTATTGTTACGACGTCCTACAAACCGTACACTAAGTCCCTGATAAAGAGCGAAGTAATGCTGGACCTCCTCAAGAATTGCGCCCACCCTACTATCCCAGGTACTTGATTGATTGATCTTGTCAATGATCATCTTAGCATCACCTTCAAAGCAAATCCCCGGAAAACCCCTACTTAAACACCAAAGAATAGCCTCATGGAGAACAAGCAGCTCCACCATCATGAGATCATCCATAGTCGGGAACTGAACCCCGCCAGCCAAGATAACATTCCCTGCCATTTCCCGGATAACCATCCCACCAGCGGAGTGGGAACCATGCCTTGTCGCCCCATCCCATTGGCAAACCAGTCTAGACGGATGGTCCGAGGGTAGCGGTTGGGGGAAAGGAGGGTGACACAGGGCCACTCGGTCAAGAGGCAAGTAACCCACTCCTGGTATTGTTGGTGAAATTGGCGCAAGAGAGCTGAGATCCCAAACTGCTTGCCTTCAAAGACAACCCGGTTGCGTGATCGCCAGATTCTCCAAAGGAGCATAATAACTACCAGAAAGAGATGAAGTTGATCTAAGAGAAGCATCAACTTCTTTAGGAACATAGGAAAGTGTGACGGGCAACCCCTGCCCCCAGATGATCCAGACCCGAATGATCCCACAAGGCCCTAGCCACTGGGCAATCAAGGAACAAATGTTCCATTGTTTCCGACTCAGCTCAGCAAACCGGACACCGGGGAAGCACAATGACCTTCTTTTCAATGAGTGCCTCTGTGGTTGGGAGGATCCGATTAAAAATCTGTCAAACAAACACTTTCAACTTGGGAGGAATGTTGGCAGACCATAAATGGATCCAGCTGGCTCTATTCATCCAACTAGACATAGATTTCCAACGCCCACCCCGCTGATCCAACAAGAGAGCAAAGTGGTAGGCCGATTTAACAGAGAAGACCCCGCCAGACGTGCCATGCCATATCAACTTATCTTCCATCGAAAACTGAGGAAGAGAAATCATCTTGATTGCTCGGAAGGTCGCCGGGTCAAACCATTGATTAAGTTTAGAATCACACCAGCGACCCTCGCCTTGGCAAATAATCTCAGCCACCTTGAGCTCCTCGTGAGCGAGCACCTGGGGGTTATAAACCAAAGGAGAAGGGTGCAACCTAGGAATCCAGGTAGAATCAAGCAATGGAGCTGTTTGTCCATTTGCAGCGCTACTTGTGCTGCCTTGTCCAATAAAACCTTTATAGTGAATTTTTTTTCTTCCAAATAAATAACCTTTAGTCACTTTTTGATCGTTTTGGCGTGATTGTTACTTATTGGCCAAACTATTTATCAAAGAAACCCTAAATCCCTCATATTTTGGTGATGATTTCTTCTCAAATCTCCCCAATCTCTCTAAACATTATGGGTTGGTGGAGGAGCAAAAGTGCTACACTTTCAAGTTCAGCACTTGGAAAGGGGGAGCAAGTGGGAGAGTTGGTGGTTGGGCCGATCAAGAGCCTTGTGGTTTATATGCATGTTCATATTAAAGACCGTCGGATAGGAAGTCTAATTTGCAATCCTACCATTGAAGTCTTGAAGAGTTTGTTTTTTAATAAGAGATACTGTTGAATATTCATTTCATAAGTCAATCTGGAAAATGATGCTTTGGGGGGTTAGCAGTTGCATTAAATTTCGGTATGGGCCAGTTCTGTTGTTGTTCAGACAACTCTATAATAGTTAGTGGCTTACATCAAAACATACATACCACTAGGGGTGTCCATCCGTCTATTAGTAAAAGATATATTAGCATCAAGGACTGGACCAATAGTACATTTGGTTCGGTCCAAATATTAATTTGGTATTTTTTTCTTCTTCAGTATATATAAAATTTATGGGATCAATGACTGAATTATATTAGAGGAAATTCCTACAATACCTTGAAGTTATGATAATTTGATGTTTTTGACTTGCTATAACAGGTTTCACAAGTACATTGCGTAAAATAGAATAGGCATTACGTAATGGTTACAAAATGTGTGTTTATCTTACATAATAGTTGAAAAATGTCATTACGGAAACCTTACGTAATAGACACTCATTTTACGTATTGAATATTAACCTTTCGTTACATAATCTGTTGAATCAATACGGAAGGCTTACGTAACAGTTGTAAAGATGCATACTTTACGTAATTTAACTGTTACGTAAGAAATAACCATCGTTACATAACCTTTATGTAATAGATGCATACTTTACGTAACAGTTGTAAAGTGGCATTACGGAAGCCTTACGTAATGGATGGTCCTTTTACGTAATGATATTAATCAAGTTACGTAATGTGGTACGTCATTATAGAAGTCTTACTTAACACTTCTAATTTAACTGTTATGTAAGAAATACCCTTCGTTACGTAACCTTTACGTAATGAGCGTGTATTTTATGTAACAGTTGTAAAATGTCATTACGGAAGCCTTATGTAATAGACGATGCTTTTACGTAATGAATATTAACCTAGCGTTACGTAAAATGATAAGTCGTTACGGAAACCTTCTGTAACGCTTCTAGATTAACTGTTACGTAAGACTAACAAGCATTACGTAATTGTTACGTAATAAGCATTAATTTTACGTAATTGTTACGTAGTTGATACAGTATGATCCAATGATTCGGTATGGACCAACCTATTGCCCACCCCTACATACCATTGGTTGTCAACTCCCTTACCTCCTCCTCTATTGTTCTGATCTCCTCACCCTTCGTTAGTTTCTCCGTCCAATTTTTTTTATTAGGGTATGACAGTTGGACTCCATAAGTATGAGTTTGAAATCGTGCTTCTGCGAGTTCTGACAATCAACAAATTTGTGTTCTCTTCGCCGTCACCATGTGAAAACCTCCACTCCCGTCTGTGGTTACCAGCCCAAAACCAGTCCCTCTTGTAGCTAGCACCACGAGATACACATTAAGTTTGTAAACCCCGGTTTCTGGCATGAGCATAGTAACCATATTCTACATCAAGTTGGGAGTGCTTGCCTAGCCACTTGACAGCTTGTGGGTAACCTTATTCTACATAAATGTGCATAACAAAAGACACACATCTTAGATTTTAATCTAAAGCCTCAAGGATCACATAGTTTTCCCCCCTTCAATTTATTATTCTTTTAAATTCATTTGTATTTTCTTCGTTAAAATTTGATTTTTGCCTGAAAAATATGCTCACGATCAAGTGTACCATGCACAACATCGAAATGCCTCCGTAGTGTATGAAGCTTGTTATATTAGTCCCGCTAGAATTGCGGACTCAAGTTAGGTCATCTGACTGTCATGCCTCTACAAATTCAGTTACAAGCTATTATTGCAATTAGTTTCTTTTTAAGTGTACTTAGAAGGTGTTTAGTGTAAGGTATGAACCGTGTGTTGTATTGCATTAACAAGGGGTATATATATACCCAAGGATTACAGCACGTACAATTGTAGAATACTACTAGGACTAGGAGAATGAACAATGATTAATACAAGGACAAGGACTACTACAAGGGAAACTAGAACTAGAACTAGGAATTCTTCCTTATACGCCCCCGCAAGATGGAGGCGGCGTCAGCAAGACCCAGCTTGGAAGTGAGAAGTCGATAACGAGTAACAGGAAGAGCTTTGGTGAGTAAATCGGCGAGCTGACTAGCAGTAGGGAGATGTTGAACAACAAGCTGCTTCGACTGAACAAGCTGACGCACGAAGTGATAGTCCAACGCCAAATGTTTCATACGAGAATGAAAAACAGGATTGGAACTGAAATTGACTGCACCGAGGTTATCACAGAAAAGAAGAGGAGCACGAGGCAGCGGATACTTGAGCTCGGAGAGAAGATTTTGAATCCAGACAGCTTCAGAAGTAGCAAGGGCAAGAGCCCGATACTCCGCCTCCGTACTGGAACGAGCAACAGTACGCTGTTTCTTGGACTTCCAGGAGAGTAAAGTATCACCGAGATAGATGAGAAAGCCAGAAGTCGAGGTACGGTCATCCACATCACCAGCCCAGTCAGAGTCGGAGAAGATACGAAGTGAAAGAGGCAGGGACTGACGACGAATCTGAAGACCCACAGTGCGCGTACCAGCTATGTAACGCAGGAGCCTCTTGACATGCTGCCAATGTGTCGAGGTAGGAGAATGCATGTACTGAGATAACTTGTTAACGGAGAAAGCAATATCCGGACGAGTAGTGACAAGATATTGAAGCGCCCCTAGGACTTGTCGATACAAAGTGGCATCCGCCGGGGAAGAACCATCAGCCAATGTAAGTCGAGCTGTAGAAGCAAGCGGAGTCGAGGCAGGGGCCGCCTCATGCATTTGAAAGCGGGTAAGAAGGTCTGTGACATACTTGTGCTGCGACAAGAGGAAGCCAGCTGAATTGGGAATGACTTCAATGCCAAGAAAGTAATGCACATGTCCCAAATGCTTGAGCGAGAAGCGATCCGAGAGCTTGGATTGAAAGATAGACAAGAATGCGGCATTGTTGCCGGTTAGGAGCAAGTCATCGACGTACATGAGAAAGTAAACCAGAACACCATCATGCGAGTAAACAAAGAGAGAGGCATCAGAGGCGGTTTTGACGAAGCCACACGAGAGCAAGAAAGAACTCAGCTCCTCATACCAAGCGCGAGGAGCTTGCCGAAGGCCATAGATGGCACGTCGTAAACGACAAACATGATGTGGAAACTTCGGATCCCGGAAACCTGGCGGCTGGGACATGTAGACCTCCTCTTGAAGAGGACCCTGAAGGAACGCATTATTAACATCGTACTGAAAAATAGGCCAATGCGAAGACAAGGCCAAGGTGAACACCGTACGAACGGTGACTGGTTTCAGAACCGGACTGAAAGTCTCATGATAATCCACACCAGCCCGCTGATGAAAACCTTTTGCAACAAGCCGACATTTGTGACGCTCAATAGATCCATCCGGTAACCACTTGACCTTATACACCCAGCGCGAACCGATGACATTATAGTGAGGTAGCCTGGGAACAAGATCCCACGTGTAGTTGGCCAAAAGAGCATTGTGTTCAGTGTGAAGAGCATTGCGCCATACATCATAACGCATGGCCTCCTTGACAGAGCTCGGCTGAAGGGGAGGAGTATCCTGTGAGAAAACAACATTAACATACTTCTTGTTAGGCTTAACAATGTTGTTCTTAGCTCGTGTTGTCATGGGATGGCAAGGAGCGGGAGCCGACGGAGAAGCAGGCGGCGACGAGCTGGGCGAGGCTGATGCCGAGGTGGATGGTGAAGTAGATGCTGACGGATCCAAGGAAGGATAGCTAGAGGGAGGCGTACCAGACCGCGGAACAGGTGACAAGGGCTGCATGGAAGGAGCTGTGTCACGTGGCCTGCATGGGAGGAACGAAACAGGAGGAGACATAGAGGCAAGCCAAGTCATGGAGGTGGACTCAGCAGAATGTGGTGGAGACAGAGATAAAACACCTGGGAACTTAGATTCAAGGAACAGTACATGACGAGAAAGAAACACACGACCGGACTGAGCATCGAGACAACGATAAGCGCTTTGTTGGTGGGAGTAACCAAGAAAAACACAAGGACGAGAACGAGGCTCAAGCTTGTTAGAACTATAGGGACGCAACCAAGGGTAACAGAGACAACCAAAGACACGAAGTTTGGAGTAATTAGGAGCTTCATTGAACAGGACAGTGAAAGGTATCTGACCACGAAGTGACGATGATGGCAGGCGGTTAATAAGATAGACAGCTGTAGTGAAGGCATACGACCAATAAGACAACGGAAGATTAGCTTGATGGAGCAGAGTAATACCGGTTTCAACGATATGGCGATGTTTGCGTTCGGAGAGCCCGTTATGCTCAGGGGTATACGGAGGGGTGAGTAGATGCGTAATACCATGAGCCAAGAGATCAGATTTCAGTTTTTGGAACTCACCCCCACCATCGGTATAGAATCTGCGAATAGAGGTCTGGAAGTAGTTTTCGACTAGCTTTTTAAAAGCAAGAAAGACCGACAAAACATCAGATTTGAATTTAAGAGGGTAAATCCAAGTGTAGCGAGTAAAATGATCAACAATAACAAGATAATAAGAGTAGCCATCGACAGAACATACTGGAGCAGGACCCCAAACATCGGAAAACAAAAGATCAAAGGGACGACTACTAGACAGACTGGAATCCCCAAAAGGAAGTTTATGACTCTTATTAGACAAACACGAGTTACAATGAGAGACCGAACGACCCGTGTGAGGGAGAGAATGAACTCGAAGAAGACGCAGCAAGGACTTGGAAGACGGATGACCTAAACGACGATGCCAAGAATCAGGAGAGTGGCGAGTGGTGACAAGGGCGACGCGAACAGCTCCAGAACCACCAGGAATTTCATAAGTATCACCTTTGTTCCTTCCGGTCAGTAGGGACGCCCCCGTTCTTAGATCCTTCACATGAAACGAATCAGCAAAAAATTCAAAAGACACAGGATTAGTACGACATAGTTTAGCAACAGATATCAGTCGGTGCTTAATAGACGGAACACATAGCACATCGCGTAGACTGAGACAGTGATTAGTAGCAGGAAGAGAAGAAGAACCGATATGAGTGATCCGCAAACCTGAACCATCACCAAGGTAAATTTCATCGGGGCCATTATAATCAGAGTAAAGCGACAAGTTGCCAAGATTGTTTGTCACATGATGAGTGGCCGCGGAGTCCATGAGCCAAGGGCCTGGAGACGAAGGAGGAGGAGCCGAGGGAGGACGTTGCGTATAGTTAGCCTGCGGTGGTCTCTTGTGAGGGAAGAGCTGAAAACAGGTTTTGGCGCTATGCCCGGGCTTGTCACAGTATTGACAATAGACACGAGGACGACCGCGAGAAGATTCATCATCACCGCGAACAGAGAAGGAGTCCCAAGAAGGCTGGGAAGCAGACGAGGATGAGGTGGCGGGACTTGGATGGGAGAGCAAGCCACGACCAGCGCCCCGACCAGCAGTACCACCGCGACGCCCGCGCCCACGGCCACGTTGAGAAGTAAAGGCGGTGGCAGGGGACTCAAGAGACGGACGAGTAGCCCGGAGATCAGCTTCTAGAGCTTGGAGCCGATCAACCAAATCCTCGAGCTTTGGAGGGACATCACGAGCCCTAATCCCAGCAGAAAATTCAGCATAGTCGGAGCCAAGACCACGCAAACAAACTGTGACAAGTTCTTCGTCACGAATAACTTCGCCAGCGAGAGCAAGTTCAGAGGCACGGGAGCGAAGGGCTTGAATATATGTAGCCACATCGCGATCGCCTTTCTTCTCAGCAAGAAGCCGATCACGGAGAGTCATCACTCGAGAGTAGGAAGTTCCGGCATAGAGATTCTGAAGAGTAGTCCAGGCCGCGCGAGACGTCTCCGCAGACGAGATAAAGGAACAGATTTCAGCGGTAACAGAGGCAAATATGCCATTGAGTAGGAGCTTGTCCTGGCGAAACCAGTGAGTGTAGGCTGGGTTTCGCTGGGGAACGTTGTTCGCAAGAAGATTCTCCGCCGGTGGAGGAGTGGAGCCATCCAAGTAGCCGACGAGATCGAGACCATAGAGCAAGGAAAAGAGCTGCGCACGCCAAGCCGGGAAGTTTGTTGAGGTGAGTTTGAGTGGCAACGAAGCAGCTGGATTGAACGTGACCAGCTGCGGTGGATCAACGGCGGCGGTAGGCGTAGCAGACGTGGTTGACGACTCGTCGCTCATGTTGACGAAGACAGGCCGAAGACAAGAAGAAAATCAGCTAGGGTATGGAAACGCCTGCTCTGATACCATGTAAGGTATGAACCGTGTGTTGTATTGCATTAACAAGGGGTATATATATACCCAAGGATTACAGCACGTACAATTGTAGAATACTACTAGGACTAGGAGAATGAACAATGATTAATACAAGGACAAGGACTACTACAAGGAAACTAGAACTAGAACTAGGAATTCTTCCTTATATTTAGTTTCTGCATTAATTAATCCCCCTAAATCCTTCTTAAACTTTTCTTGTGAACATAGATACTATTTTCCTCTCCACCTGTTCTACCTGTGCAGCTCTGAAACCCAAGACAAGTAAACAGAGAAGCCCAAAAGAACCCCCACACTCCACCGGTTTTAGAATTATGATTGTTATTTGTTTCTTAATCTGGGAATAGTCCAAAATTAAACTCCATCTCCATCTCCTTTGTTTAATTGAGTGAGAACCCAATTCCACACATCAATTAAATCAAGTGATGTATTTGGTAGTTGTTATTTGGTAGGAATTGGGGTTTGAGCATTTATTATAAACCATTTATGTCATACCAAGCGACAATGAGTAGAAAGGAGGAAAACAGCAGAACACCAAGAAGCCAAGTTTGCTACCACAAATGTGATTGGCAGTGTTTCCAGGGAGGATGACCTCTTGGGGTTTCGTTGTTGTTTGGAACGTGTCCCTTTGGGTCATCACAATTAGAGACTCAATTGAGCCTCTTTTGCATTTCTAGGTAATAATGGCTTAGGATGGGTATCTTTCTAAATACATATATGTGTCTAGTGCCTAGAGCGAGTTGGATCGAGTTATATTTGTACAGATACAAAATGAGATGGGTCGATATATTTTTATATGCAGTTAGAAGATAACGTATATAATATCTCGATTGTTACAAGAAAGAACAGGAGAAACATGTGACGTGTTATATTTCTTTAGGGGATTGAGCCCTCACAAACTAACACTGATCATTGAAAAAAAAAACACTGAATTGAACTAAAATGAAGGAAACAATAGCAAGAGAAAGCAAAGAAGAAAAAAAAGCGAATGGGGTTTTGATCTTCTTTTTAATTAATCGTAAACCAAATTATATATTTATAGAATTGCACCTGCAATTCATGGAAGTTGATAAAGTCGTACTTAAAATTACTAATGATCGTTCTACATGACAACAAAGTTACATTTTTAACCTTTTGGCATCTTTACATTTTCTTTAGCAAACAAACATCACTTTGACAAAAAAAAGACGAAAAACACTCAATCTCCCACACTCTCGAATTAACCGTTGACATTCTGAAGTCGTAATTGTCGAGAATGCATCCGAATCATGAGTAGCGACTCCGACAAGGTAAAAAAAAAAAGTAAAAAAAATTCAAAACCCCTCAACCGAATCCATTTTTCGGTTGTGCCATGGATCAGCCGAAAATCAGCTTTAGTTGTACCATGTATCAACCAAAAACTATCTTCGGTTGAGCCATGGTGCAAGCGAAGCTGATTTTCGGTTGGTCCATGGTACAACCAAAAATCGGCTTCGGTTGAGCCATGGTGCAACCAAAAATTGGTTTCGGGTGAGGGGTTTTTGGGTTTTTTTTAAGGTTTCTTTCGATTTATATCAATAATTTTCTATTCCTTTGCTATGATTTATGGTTCGGTCCATAAGATAATTTGTTGGATTTTGGTTTATATTTTTTGTTAGATTTATGAAGGGGGGAGGGGTTGTTTGCTTTGTGTTTGATTTCGAAATTGAAAATGAACAATTCGATAAATTATGTATTAAGTTAGAACGATGGTTAGTAATTTTTAAGACGAGCGTTAACCATTTAGCAATTCATCTCCCTCCTCGTCTTAGTCCATCTTCTGTCCCTACTCAACTAGTCAACTTCCTTCACTTCTTTCCCAAGAAACCGTAATTACATGTAACCAGAAACTATTACAAATCATAATCCAACTAGAACGATAATTAAGAAATGTGGATGTCGAACGGTCTTGAATCGTAATTAAATGCGAATAACCAAATAAAAATACACAAGATCTTAATGCCCGATAAATCACGGCTGCCCGTGTACATCACAAAACCCTTTCTAAATCCATAAGGTAGAGCAATTATTTGAGAAAAGAGAAGCTCGCCTAAGCTATACCTTTCATATTATGGAAGAGTCAAAATAACTTCAATTTGTATTAATGTTGAAGAACATTTAAAATAAGATGGAACAAGAATAGGACAAAACTAGACAAAGCAAGACCAAGAAATCGAGATAGAATCGAAACCTCACGATTTTGTATGCATCATGAGAGGTGGAATTGATCAAGAAGGGGAAGGAAAGAATCAAGACAGGGAACATTTTAAATTAGAATGGATTATGAGATCAACATCAATCTAGCTAACTTGCTAACAACCTGAAAGCCAACTAACTTAACTAACCTTAACCTACCCACAGTGAACTTGGATGGGTCTCTCTTAACCAAACACTAGTCGTTGATTGTTATTTGACAATGTTAACGATTTTACCGTTGGCTCGATTTATACATAAGAGGTAGTGGTATTTCGCATCCTTTAAAAAAAACATGCATTATCAATAACCCCTAATTTCTGCATGTCGTTTGTGTAGGAGAAGAAGAATCAAGTGAAAGAGGAAATGACGATTGAATAAAATAGTAGATTAGGGATTTTGACTTAAGAGTCAAATGAGAGATCAAACCGGTTGGAATTTCTTGGTTGAGACGGATCTGACTCAACTTACCAACCGAGCACTAGAGAGCCATTCGCAATGGGCTCAGTTAATTCAAGCCCAATCGACCCGAGAAGACTGATCCAGACTTTGATCAGTTTTGGCCCAAGCTCTGAGAAGAAGGAACAGAGAAGATCATCTTCTTCATAGAGCCAAGGCTCGGTCGAGACAGAGAAGCAGAACTGAGGAGGAAGAGAGTTGCAGAATCTTAAAGTACACCGAGGATTTTTAACGAGGTTCGCCACAGGGCTACTCCTCGTCCCAGGATAGTACCACTATCCTGAGAGACACTTTGATTTTCTTTTTGATTGACACAAAGAAGAAAAGAACTAGACAATACGAATTACAGACACAGGTGAGAAAATCAAAGTGCAACAGACCTAGACCCGAATTCTCGCAGGAATTCGAAACACCCTTTGATCAAGCTGAACCTCTACCCCAGCTTGAATCAAAGCCACTGAATCCCAAACCCAACCCTCTGCTCTTTGCACAAAGGAATCCCTGTTTTCTTCAGTATCGAGCTTCTTCCCTTCAGCTTCTTTAAATAGCTCTTACCAGTAGCCGTTGGAGATTGAGGTTGGACCAGAAAGGGTACGTTGAACAGCTGTTGATTGATATCTTGATTGATTGATTTGCTCCCCCTTGATCCATGATCTGGCAATCTCCTAACTTGATTCTGACTTTGAATCTTGCCAATTCAACAATCTCCCCCTAAGTTGGAGATTGCCAATTGTCCGCTTGATTCCTGCAAAACAGATACTATCTCCCGCACACAAGAGTAGATAACACATAGAAAAAAAATTCTACCACACCACCCATTTAGCAAGCAAATATTCAACACACAAGAGAGTAGTAAATCCAGAGAGTCCAAACAGCTGGGAAAAAGACACGTCCAGCAAACCAAAGCATCAACTGTTATCAATCGAAAGAAGATCTAGTCAGATTCATAAGCATCTCGAAGATCAGCAAGCACATCACTTAATGGAGGGGATCCAGGATCAGCGTCGTCCTCATCACTGTCATTGCAGCTGCTGCTGTCACTGCTGGTACTGCTGATCCAATGCACTTCTATATCTGGATGAGGTTCTTCAGCAGGTTCTTCCTCTGGAAAATCGTCTGAAGAGTCTGAAGGTTCCTCCCCCTCAACGGCAATGGCAATCTCGTCCAGGACATCATCAACAGTAATGTAGATAGTAGGAGTGGTGGAGCGGAAGGGGTCAAGAGAAATTTCAAGACGAGTGATGAGACGTGTGATAAGAGGGCCGAAAGGAAGATGACCGTGGTATTCGAAGTACTGGAACATGTAGAGATGTCCAAACAGCAGGTGGGAGAAGTTCAGAGGGACATTGTTCACAGCATGCTGAATAATCCAGAGATCTAGAGGGGTGACTCTATCTAAAAGCACGGTTCTAGGAAGGAAGCGATGAGTGAGAAAGAAGTGAAAAGTTCGGATACCAGGCAACAGAAATGTGGTGGGAAGGGTGAGCAGAGCATCTGGAGCATGACCAGTCAGTTTCACAAACTCTTGCTCAATGTCAAAGTTGAACAGAACTAGCTCAGACTCATGAGCCAAAACCTCACCAACCTGGGGAATATCAAGTAGACGACTAAGATCTTCAAGAGGAATGGTGACAAGATTACCATAAATCAGGGTGGTAAACGTGCGAGTTTCTAGACCAAACGATCGAAAGTTTGAATAAAAAAGGCGAACTGCCTCAGGACAGATATGTTCAAGGGTTTGATCAGTAAGAAACTCCCATCCCAGGTTACGAATAAGGTGAGAGAAGTCAATACCATAATCAACTAGACCAGCATGAGGAATCTGATAGGTAGGAATAATGGGGCGACGAGCATAAGAAGTGGCATGCCTATGGGCATTAGCAGGGATAAGATCATGAAACAGGGTACCTGTGTAGGTGATGGAGAACTCGAACACCATTGAAGGGACTAGGACAGACCGCTAAGACACAAACTAAGAATGAATGACCAGAACCAGAACACTTAGACGTATAAATACTTAAACTAACACACATAAAAGGTAAGCACATAAGAAGGAAGAATTGCAAAAGGAAAGCAAAAAAGAAAACTAAGGTAAGAGGAGCATCTTAATCAGATCAAATTCTCCAGATTCTCTGGAGATCGAAGCCCGAGTTCATAGCAAAGGAAAGTAAATCGATCTGCATTTAATGGCTTAGTAAACAGATCTGCCAGTTGGAATTCAGTAGGAATATGATTCAATTGAATTAAATGTTGCTCGACTAATTCCCTAATAAAATGGAACTTTACTTCTATGTGCTTAGTTCTGAAGTGCTGCACACGGTTTTTGGACATGCATATGGCACTAGTGTTGTCACAGAACAAGGGGATTGTCGAGGTAAGGATTTTATAGTCTAGAAGCTGATTTTTAAGCCAGATGAGCTGTGTACAACAGCTCCCTGCTGCAATGTACTCAACTTCTGCAGTAGACAGAGCTACTGCCCCTTGTTTCTTACAGGACCAAGACACTAAAGAAGTTCCTACAAACTGGCATGTCCCAGTGGTACTTTTCCTATATGAGAGACTTCCTGCAAAGTCTGAGTCACTATAGCCTAGTAAATTGAAGTTGTCATGACGTGGATACCACAATCCGACCTCAGGAGTTCCTTTTAGATAACGAATTTTTTTTTAACAGCACTGAGATGGCTTTCTTTGGGAGCCGATTGAAACCTAGCACATAGACATACACTGTGTTGGATGTCTGGTCTACTAGCAGTCAGGTAAAGTAAGGAACCTATCATGCCTCGATACTTCTTTTCATCAACTAATTTCCCTGAGATATCTTTGTCAAGCTTAAGATTTGTTGCCATAGGTGTAGGACTAGAGTTGATTGAGTTCATATTGAATTTTAGTAGCATTTTCTGAAGGTATTTAGATTGGTTGATGAAAATCCCAGAGGGGTTTTGTTTAACTTGTAGTCCAAGGAAAAATTTTAACTCTCCCATCATGCTCATTTCAAACACTGACTTCATGGTTTCACAAAATTCAGTACATAGTTTTGGATCACTGGATCCAAAAACTATGTCATCTACATAGATTTGAACAATAAGGATATGGTCAGACACATGTTTTATAAATAAGGTTTTATCTATGCTTCCCTGAGTGAATGATTTTTCTATTAGAAAGGAGGATAGTCGTTCAAACTAGGCTCTAGGAGCCTGTTTAAGACCATACAAGGCTTTGTTTAACTTGTAAACATAGTCAGGGTGCTCAAAATCAACAAATCCAGGAGGCTGAGCTACATAGACTTCCTCATGTATCAAACCATTAAGAAATGCGCTTTTCACATCCATTTGATATAATGGAAATCCCATAAAACTAGCAAAGGCACACAGTAATCTAATGGATTCAATCCTAGCCACAGGAGCAAAAGTTTCATCAAAATCAATTCCTTCCTCTTGGAGATATCCCTGGGCAACTAATCTAGATTTATTTCTAATGACAACATTATCCTCATCAGATTTATTTCTATAGATCCATTTAGTACCAATAACTGTAACATTTTCAGGTCTTGGAACTAAATCCCAAACATGCAAGTGTTCAAATTGGTTTAGTTCTTCTACCATAGACAGACTCCATTCTTCATCTTGAATGGCTTCTTTCCAGTTTTTAGGTTCAAATTGGGAAACAAATGCATACTGGCCAGGAGTGTACCTACCTCTGGTTTGAAGACCATCGCTGAGTTTACCAATAACTTGACTTTCAGGATGCCTCTTCTGAATATGAGGAGGGGCTTTTGGTACAGCTTCTGCAGTTTCTGTATTTTTTTCTGTAGTTTCTACTTGAGGTTCGCGAGGCTGATGCATGTCTGGAGTAACCTGCTCACTCAAGGACTCTCGACCATAAGATGTGAGTTCACTTAAGTTAATAGTTACAGGATTTGCTGACACACCAGTCAAGGTTTCATTGAATAAGACATGTACTGACTCTTCTACTTTCTTAGTACGTTTATTGTAAACCCTATAAGCTTGCCCTTTAGTTGAGTATCCAAGAAAAGTAGCAGGATCAGATTTTGCATCGAACTTACCAAGTGAGTCCCGAGTATTCAGAGTATAGCAAGGGCATCCAAAAGGGTGAAAGTAAGAAATCTTAGGAGTTTTACCTTTTAATATTTCATAAGGAGTTTTATTCAATTCTTTTCTAATTAGAACACGATTTATAACATAACAAGCAGTGTTTACTGACTCAGCCCAAAAGAACTTAGGTAAATTATAATCTAACAGCATAGTTCTGGCACACTCTATTAGGGTTCTATTCTTACGCTCAACTACTCCATTTTGTTGAGGAGATCTAGGAGCAGAGAAGGTGTGCAGGATTCCTAATTTGTCACACAAATTAGCAAATTCATCCTAAATGAATTCACCCCCATTGTCACTCCTAATAGATTCTAGGGACTGTTTATGCATTGTGAGAAATGACCGAAAATTTTCAAATGTTTCATCCTTGTGAGCCAAAAAAAATACCCAGGTATACCTAGAGAAGTCATCAACTAGCACATATACATAATTTTTTCCTCCTAAACTAGTCACATTACATGGACCAAATAAGTCCGTGTGTATTAATTCGAATGTTCTAAAGGTTGTTATATCTGGTTTTGGTTTAAAGCTCTTTTTCTTATGTTTACCAGCAACACATGCATTACAGAAGAATTCAGCCTTATCTTTAAGCTTGGGAAGACCTCTAGCTAAGTTAAGCTTTGATAGACTGGACAACTTTGTTATACTGATGTGACCTAGTCTTTTGTGCCACAATAGTTCAGATGATAGAGATGATGCTTGTAGGCATTTGGTATTAAACATGCTTGAGTCAGTTAGATCCACAACATACATGTTATTAACTCTTTTGCCTATTAATATGATCTTGTTTTCAGTAATTTGTTCCACTAAGCATTTATCATTTTCAAAAATGACTCGATTGCCATTACTGCATAGTTGGCTTATTGAAAGAAGGTTATGTTTTAACCCATCAACTAAAAGAACATTTTTTATTATAGGTAAAGGGCTATTCCCAATGCATCCAGAACCAACTATTTCACCTTGACTGTCATCCCCAAAGGTAACCTTTCCACCACGTTTCATAGTTAAAGAGTTAAAAAGGTATTTCTTACCAGACATGTGATGTGAACAACCACTGTCCAGGTACCATTTTGAATCATCATAGGAATGCAGATTTTGACTTGGTCCATGGAGGGGTTCTGAGTCATCCTGTCTGTTGAAGGCCATAAAGGCTTCTTCATCTTCTTGAACTTCTTCTTCTTCTGATTCATAATCACTCCTAGTGGTGGCCTTCATTGCTCTTTCCTTTGATTTTAGAGTGAGTGGACAGTTGGCTCTGATATGTCCAGGCTTCCCACATTTGTAGCAGTCTTGAACTTCTCTATCTTGATTACCTGTCTCAAATGATCTGGTCTGCGGAGTTCGCAGCCTATTTTGTGAAAAGTTTTTGACTTTGTCAAAGTGGTTAGAACGATTAAACAAGTTCCTATCATTACCCTTATGCTTTTGCTCTTACTTGTATTTCAGCATTCTATGAAATTTATTACTAACAAGAGCAAATTCCCGATCAAACTCCTCTCCTAGCTCAGAGTCAGATTCATATTCATTCACTAGAGACTTAAAGGCTAGTGATTTCTTGCGTTTCTCATCTTCTTTATTGACTTGTTTAAGTACATGTTCATGGCTTAGAAGAGATCCAACTAGTTCATCTATAGCAGAGTGTTAAATCCCTAGCTTCCTCTATGGCAGTTCGCTTAGGTAGCCATTCTTTAGGGAGGGATCTTAAAATTTTTCTATTTAGGTCTTTGGCGAGATAGATCTTCCCTAAGCCTTTCAGTTTGTTAATCAAAATAGTAAATCGAGAGTACATTTCATTAATTCCCTCACTTGGAGCCATGTCAAAGCATTCATATTCGTGAACCAGAAGATCGATTCTGGTTTCTTTGATGTTCGATGAGCCTTTGTAGGTATTTTCCAGTGAGCTCCAGATCGCTTGAGCCGAGTCACAGTGCTCCACTTTATCTGCCTCGTCAGGTGTCATAGCCGTTTGCAGGATGTGCATCGCCCTCTGATTCCGCTGGGCGCTCTTCTTTTGTGCGGCCGACCAGAAGTTCTGCTGATCTGCCTCCATTTCGAGAGGTCCATCGCGCACGACAGACCATAGCTCTTCATCTACCCCCCCCCAAAGGAAGGTCTTCATTCGCTTTTTCCAGGCGGTGTAGTTTGCTCCCGTGAATATTGGTGGATGGTTGTATGAGGCATGACCGAAGTTTGCGGATCTGAATCTTCCCTTGGAAGCAACAAGCTTCAATCAAGAGACCTGCTCTGATACCACTTGTAGGAGAAGAAGAATCGAGTAAAAGAGGAAATGACGATTGAATAAAATAATAGATTAGGGATTTTGACTTAAGAGTCAAATGAGAGATCAAACCGGTTTCAATTTCTTGGTTGAGACGGATCTGACCCTACTTACCAACCGAGCACTAGAGAGCCATTCGCAATGGGCTCAGTTAATTCAAGCCCAATCGACCCGAGAAGACTAATCCAGATTTTGATCAGTTTTGGCCCAAGCTCTGAGAAGAAGGAACAGAGAAGATCATCTTCTTCACAGAGCCAAGGCTCGGTCGAGACAGAGAAGCAGAACTGAGGAGGAAGAGAGTTGCAGAATCTTAAAGTACACCGAGGATTTTTAACGAGGTTCGCCACAGGGCTACTCCTCGTCCCAGGATAGTACCACTATCCTGAGAGACACTTTGATTTTCTTTTTGATTGACGCAAAGAAGAAAAGAACAGAACAATACGAATTACAGACACAGGTGAGAAAATCAAAGTGCAACAGACCTAGACCCGAATTCTCGCAGGAATTCGAAACACCCTTTGATCAAGCTGAACCTCTACCCCAGCTTGAATCAAAGCCACTGAATCCCAAACCCAACCCTCTGCTCTTTGCACAAAGGAATCCCTGTTTTCTTCAGTATCGAGCTTCTTCCCTTCAGCTTCTTTAAATAGCTCTTACCCGTAGCCGTTGGAGATTGAGGTTGGACCAGAAAGGGTAAGTGGAACAGCTGTTGATTGATATCTCGATTGATTGATTTGCTCCCCTTGATCCATGATCTGGCAATCTCCTAACTTGATTCTGACTTTGAATCTTGCCAATTCAACAGTTTGTTACTATTTTATCCGTTTGAGTCCCTTGTTACTAGACACGGGTTGCTTGCCAGTTGACTTAATTGGTTACTGAAGTCAAAGTAAAGGATAATACACAGAAGATCGAGTTGCACCTGTACGTATATAATACAAACAATAGTATTATCCAATCCAATAC